AAACCAATATGGCCGTCCAATACAAACATTTTATCGACTTCCGTTACAGGTATGTATTTCTGCTTCTTCTTTATTCACTATATTCCTACTTGTATTTCTTCTTTGTCTTATGTTTATTGTAGTTTATGTAACACTTGTTTAAATCGTTCCTGTAATCCTTGTTTAATACCATTAACCATTTTCCGCCAATGTTTGGTTGTTTGTTTTCACAACAACAGCTAATCATAATTCTTTAAATGGCCAGACACACAATGACCATGGTCGCAATCATAATCCCCTTTTGTTTGACTTTTGTCCGACATGAGGTGCGAATCTAACACATGTTATTATTGTATTTGTCTTACAAGTATTTTGCAACAGGCGGGTATTTTGTTTATCTCTCCTTTTTTGTTGTGTGGCCAATATTTAAATACTTTAATCGGATTAACCAGTAGGGATTAGAGAGGCCGCATGGCAATTGGAAACGATTGTTGGGAAAATATTGGTTTACACTTATTGGAAAATGTTGTGAAATGACGGCCGGTAGTACAAAATGAAAAATTCGCGGTTGTAAACATAAATTTACAGTGGAAAAAATTCATTTCGTACGTCCCTGGTAAAGATAATAAAGTAAATATTTCAGACAAATCCGAAATTCTTCACAGTCTGAAATTTATTAGAGTACATACATAGATGTAAAATTTCCTAAGCACGGTTGGGGTAAAAGTGGAAGAGGCCAATGAAAACATCATATGAACAAAATTTTTGAAGAATATTTAGACTTGTGGTATTTAGAATTTTTGTAGATTTCATTCGAATTATTATTAATTGTAAATAATTTTGAGTTTAAATCAAGTAATCCATCTCTGACTTTTATAATCTAGCCTGTTGCATATGCTGATATGTATGTTATTATATTCCAGACGAACCATGTGGTTGTGAATTCAATGCACTATTGCAAAAGTCGATGTGTTCTCTGACAATTAATACATCAATCTACTTACAATATCGGCTTATTGGTACATTTTTATATGGGAGGAAGATATTGCAATTGTTCACATATATCGGATCATTCTCTTCCCCAATAAAGATTTTTCCAAGATTTTCTCCGCAAAAATATATAATAATCTAATCGCAAGACTCTATTTAAAAATTAATTTTTATAGGGAGGGAAGGCTAGTTTCTAGGTTTAGAATTTAATTCGGGGCATTATTTGGAAGATACAACATTAATTTAATAAAAAAATCGTAGAAACTGAATTCAATGCACTATTGTAAAAGTCGTTGTGTTCTCTAAAAATTAATACATCAATAATCTCCTTACAATATCTGCTTATTGGTACATTGATACATAGGAGGACGATATTGCAATTGTTCACATATATCGGATTATTCTCTTGCCCAATAAATATTATTTTCCAAGATTTTCTAAGCAAAAAAACACGTGGTGATATATGGGAATATAATCGCAAGACTCTATTTATATAGCAAAAATGAATTTTCAAGGTTTGACTGTATAGGGGGGGAAGGTCAGTAGCATATATTTCACGGCATTATTTGGAAGATATAACATTCATTTAGTTTAAAAAATCGTAAAAACGTTTCACCGTTCTCTTCTTTTTTTCAAATCCCTATATCTGTGCACCGTAAAACATAATAGGTCTTGAACACGCATTAAATATTTTCAATTTATTATTCTTAGTTATTTTTTTAGATTTTGTTATAAATGTAGAATTGAAAGCGATTTTAGAAGAAATGAGTTTTGATTGTAAATGGGTATTGAAAGATTAATTGTGTGTTAGTTCAATTCCAAGGAAATTATATCTGTTAACGATTTCTATATTGTGACCAGCATACTGGTATTTAGTTTACGCTTCAAGAGGCACAAGGACTCGACATAGAAGGATGATATATTCCTCTTTCGATTTGACTTAAGACATGTCATCTCAAAAGAGTTATCTGCAAACAAATAATCGTGTCAGAACTCAAAAATTGGACCTATGGCGAATTTATCCTTTTTGTTTCGAAAATTCTCGTCAAGGACATTCACCTCCAAAGGGGGAATTTTCCACACCTCCAGGATATAAGCTTCAGTTCGTTTTTTAGTACAATGGAGTGATTATAAATAAGGTCTATGTCTAAATGTTTACCTATATAACTTATCTTCGAACGAAAAGGGAAACAAAAATATTTGCATTTAACTGAAAATAAAAAAACGAAAAACAGTGAGGTCTTGAATCGACACTGAACTTGGAGTTGACCTTATATCTGGTGTGATCGCAAATTGTTATATCGTAAGATCTCTGTGGCCAATTTTCCCGTAAAAGAGCTATGGCTTCGTGGGTTGTTAGGCAAATAGCTTTATCTTTATGAAATTTAACTTTATCCTGATCAATACCATCCAACTTCGACCACAAAAATCATTAATGATCTCTTGATAGTACAACACTTCCACAGCAACTGTTGATCTAAACTCATTTTGGATAAAAGTAATGTCCAATGACCCCGTCAGACCATTAAACCCACCAACAGACACACGTTATGTACTTGTTGAGATTTCCTAACCCATGATGTGACAATTTTACTTTTACTATGACAAATTTGCCCTTCTAGGGCCTTGATATAATCTACACGCGCTTTCATATCTATGTGCCCTTCTGAGACCCCGTAAAAAGAAACTATTGATTGTATTGTTCGAGGAAGAGGCACTTCTGCAGATATAATTTCTCCCTCCAGGATCACTGTATTCCAAATTATAGTCACTTCGCAGGGAAAAACGTATAAAATTCCGAATACCGAATAGTAAAAACCAGTCATGTCTATATATAGCAAATCCGCAGTCAGTAGTTGATCGCTCTCCGCCCAGATATTTTTTCTCCCTCCAGGATCACTGAATTCCAAATTATGGTCTCTTCGATGGGAAAATACGCCTAAAACGTATAAAATTCCGAATATCGAAGCAGATTAGCGAATAGTAAATACCAATGAAGTTAAAAAAAATTCTTCGTCATTGTGCTTTGATCGCTTTCCTGCCTTAAGATCGCTTCACGCTTTCCCGCCCTCAGATCGTTCCTCTTGTGTCTAACTCTCTCATCTATTGCAATGACATAGTTCTCTTGTACGATTAATAAACCAACCATCGATGTTTATTCCCTCTACTTTCTTCACTTCAGTGCAAACATTCGTTATGATAACAACTACATAATTCTCATTTACTTCGTATCTCACTTTTCGTCACTGAAGTTGTCGAGAACCAGGGTTACCGTTGTGCGACTAAAGTTGCAATTTGCAACTCTGTTTGCAGAGTTACAGGGCATGAAATTAAATTCAAACTAATTTGGATTCGTCTACGTCGTTTTGAGTTCCTCGGGTATCTGACATATTCTCGGAATAGTTTTATTGACAAATTTACTTTCCCTGCGACTTTTTTTCAAGTGAACGACTTTTTGTGCAACTTTTTTAAAAATTCCCAGTGGTAACACTGTCGAGAACCACAGTTAGCGAATAGTAAATACATTTGAAGCTTCGTTTGGGAGATCCCTACTCTTAGAGCAGCTCGTCAATATTTAAAAAAAGTGATACGCTTTAATCTCTATCCCGTCTTTATCTCGCTCTAATTTTTAAATAACATCTGCGCTTAGGTCGTTCTTGCTTTTAATTCACACATTCCAACGTTTGTGGTCAGATTACTATTACAACAACATATGTCACTAAACAAGATCAACGAACGAAATATATTTATTCATTCCCATAAAATAATTTTTTTTAAACATTATAACATAATTCTCATTAACTTCGTAACAACGAATGTATATCACCTTTTATTACTGAAGTTATTCCGCATCAGATTTTATGAATAGTAAATACAAGTGAAGTCGGCGTTTGGCAAATCCGCAGTCATTGTAGCTCATCAGTTGTTAACAAATGTAATTCTCATTCACTTCGTTACTGAGGATGCATAAGTAACACTTAGTGAATAGTAAATATAATTATTGTAATAGTTCGGCTAAGTATACAATAAGAATAATTGTTAGTTTGTAAGTTATTTAATAACTCTGTTCAATAAATTGATGGAAAAAATATATCTTGAATATTAAGTTGAAGTGAAGTCAGCGTTTGGCAAATCAGCCATAGTAACTCGTCAGTAGTTAACAAATGTCTTCGGCCTTGAGTTTTGCTCACTCTCCAGCCCTTAGCACGATCCAGTGTTTAACTGGGTCTAACGGTTTACTTAATGCTATATTATTAAAAAAAACATATATCTCTTGTACAATATATTTCAGCCCCCGTCCTAAATATCTCGGCTTACCTAAGCCGTAGGTTGGGTAATCTACTTATACTCCCCCATTCTACATTGAAATTCAGTCCAAATAGAGATATGAAACTCAGAAAACGTAAACTTTTCGTGGTTCTATAAGGTCCGAGTAATTGGCGACAAAATTTTCGTTTTATTTTAAATGATCCAGAAATTGAGCTGAAAAATTTGGCTTTGAATGAAATGTTATCGAAACTTTTCAAATGGTGTAATGAATTAATGACTTGGATGTTCGGCGACAATGGGAAAAAAGCAAAAAAAAAAACGTTCTAAACTCTCACCATTTAACCAATTCTCAACATTTTTATTATCATCCTCCGCCGCTAATGTATTAACATCAACAAAATTCGACATAAAACCACTTTCAAATTCTGCCGCATGTACAAAATCCGAATTCTCCCCACTCAGCTGCGATGCTGGTGAGGATGTTGTATCCACAGATGCATTTAAATCACCCGTCATTTCTCGGTGGGGACTAACTAACGATAGGGAATGAAAGGATTGTTTTATGGACATCGATACTAATGACGACGCGGAGGAGGATAATGTGGGTGAGGTGGACGATGTTGTTGTTGTCAGTCGTATTTCTTCGTTTGTTAATTGACGGATTTGTTGTGTTGACAACGAGGACGACGATGGCGGCGGCGGTGCAGGCAACATTGTTCTAATTTGTGTGTGGCGTTTATTTTTTATCGACATCGACTTACTTGTTTTGGAGCGTGGTTCACGCGGTCCATCAACGGTAACTTTTATCGCTTTGGCATAGGTGGCCACCTGTCGGGGAAATGTATCCACAGTTATGGTTAGGGTAAAACTTTTACCTAAAATGAGAGAAAAAAGAAGAGCAGAAAAGAAACAGAAGTGTTAAAATTATTGCTGCCGTAAATTTTAATTATTTTTTGTTCGTGTGGATTATAAATTTTATAAATTATGTGCAGAACGACAACATCGTAAGATATGTATGTATGTAGTTATGTACTTCAAAGTGGCTGTGTTTAAGAAATTGATTTCCTTCGTCAAGGTTCTTGTTTTTTGATGGGTTTTGACACCCGAATTTAATTGTTTTCCAGGGATCATTTAACACGCGCCATTAACAGTTGGCGGTCTTCTTTCTTTTGGGAGGTTCGTAAGTGTAGTGAAAATGAAGATTGATTTTTTGATGTTTCAATGACATAAATTGCTTAAAATGATTTTGGGAATTTTGAAAGGCATTAAAATGTCGATTTTTGCTAAATTGACAATTTACCAATTCTTAATGGATTTTTTTTAGAGCAAAGTCTATATAATACTTATTCAGAGGTTTTTTTTATATAAAGAATGCCCTTTTCGTAGGTATTTTAGACATAGGAGAGCTTCAGGAAGGCTTCGAGACATACGAGGACTACTTTCCGTGGAAGAAAAAGGCTGTATTAAATTTGTTACACCGGATGGATAAGTGTTTCACTTGTTTGCGAAAAGTAAATACCACATGGAGTACATGGACATTCAACATAGAAAACCTTATGTCTAGAAGACCTACTGCCCATAATAACTGCTGGTAATCTTATGTAGCTAAAAGGCCTATTGGAGGTCTCCTATACCTAGTAGATCTTCAATGCTCTAAAGACCTCCTGAATGTTTACTTCGGTGTAATCATTCATTATGAATTAACAAAATAATTCTCATTCACTTTTTTACTGCGGATGGATAAGCAATCATTGTTATATAAAATCGTACAGAAGTCTTCAACACAAAGAGATTTTCTATAAAAATAATACTTCTCATTTGAATTAGTGATTTAAATTTAGAAAAATAAGAATTATGCTAATTAATAAACTCTGTTTAATGAATTGGTGGAAAAATATATATTGAATCTTGCTTATTAAATAGAAGTGAAGTGTGGCATCAGCGAGTGGCAAATACGCAGTCATAGTAGCTTGTCAGTAGTTAACAAATATCTTCGGCCTTGCTCCTTCTCCAGCGAGAAGTTTTCCTGATTGGCAACTTTTCAAATACAAAATCGACGCTATAGAGGTCATTTATGTCCAGACGCTCTTTTCGATGTCTTCTAAAATTCTTCTAACGTAGAAGATATTTTAAAGCATACCTTATACCTTAGGCATTCAATACAAAGAGTTTTTCTATAAATAGAATATCTCCCGCTTTTAGGCCTCTATTTGTATTAGTGATTTCAATTTAGAAAAATAAGAATTATGCTAAGTATTCGATAAGAATAGAATAGAATAATATAGCGTGTGGCAAATCCGCAGTCATAGTAGCTCCTCAGTAGTTAACAACTATCTTCGGTCCTCCTTGCTTGGCAATTTTTTGTATTGAGGTCTTTTATACCCAGACACTCTTCTCGATGTCTTTTGGAGATCTTTCAAATACAGTACCTTCTAGAATTCTTCTATACGAAGAAGTTCCATTAACCCTCTATCTTTCAAATATAATACCTTCTAGATTTCTTCTATACGAAGAAATTCCATTAACCCTTTGTGGCCCAATATTGACCACAGGCAACAAAATGTATTATTTGGATTTCATATGTCTAGACCTGATTATGGACGACACATACCAAAAGATCTAAAAAGTTAAAATTTTTGGTACAGTTGTGAGCTTTTCAATATAGAGAAGAGGGTACATTTGTGTACAGTACTAATTTGTGTATACAGTCCAAATTATTTACATTGCTTCGTATTCGTTAAAGGTATTCCTTATCTGGAGAGATTATTAATATAGAAAATCTTCAATACAAATATATTTTCAGTGTCGCAAATCCGCGGTCATAGCAGCTGCAATCCCTTTTAAAATTCTTCTAAACATAAAAGCTCTTTTTTAAGGACACTCATTATTTACATACATTCTTCTGGTGGCTTTCAGTTTGCGTTCTATTCATAGAAGACCATCATATTAAAATAAGAACTCCAAAGCCTATTTAATATTTTCTGGAGGCCTTTTATATAAGATAACAATTTTTATTAAATAATTTTAACAATTTTTTCTTGGGCAGCATTTGCTTCAATCCAATTAAAATCATATTTTTTTGAGATCCTGCTTAGCCTCTTCTTTGATGGAGGTTTTGTTTTCCTAATCATGGTCCTAGTTTTGGAAACTTATTAAAAATAAACGAGATCTAAAAGAGCCACTCCTGAAAAATTCGACCATTCAATTTTCACTTTTTTTAATTTCAATTTTTTTTAAACTTTTGTACTGCAAAACAACAACTTTTGTAACTTTAAATTGAAATTGTCTCCTATATATGAGACAATATATTAATATGTAAATATTCCTTAATAGAATTTGTCTGGCAGACTTTAAAGTTCATAGCTATGTAAATTATATTTACGATTGTAAATATCCTTATTGGAAAAAAACTAAGGCAAAAACATAAAATACACACAGACACCGTACATATGTAAACGAAAACCACAAAACAATTTTAAGAACACGTTTAGGAAAAAAACGGACTCCTTAGTCAGAATGGAATAGGGAAATAGAATAACACCGTATCCTACAATATCAATGTCAAGCTAAAATTTATTTTTAGAAAAAAAAAAAAAAATTGGGAACCGAAAAAAACTATTTGTGCAGTATTTTTATGGATTGATAAATAATGGAAAAAGGATATGGCAACAATGCAGAATAAAGAAGTAAAAAGTATCAATAGTTTTTCCAGACAGATATATACCCTGAAATTTTATGTTGTATAAACTAATTCTGACGTTTATATGAAAGGTACCAGAGATGATTGTCCTATATATCCTAAATCTGTTTGGACCACACAGGATTGACCATTTGAGTCATATGATGTACATGTTTATAACAAATCGGATACTCCATTTAATATGATACTCCATGTTTTTAAACTGCTGACTCTTCGAACTTGATTTAGATCGAAAATTCCATTCGCGTTGTACAAGAAAGACATAGTTTGCAAATATTGAGCCTTTGTGGGGAGGTACTACAAGGAGTGACAGTTAATTAAACAAGCCCATCTTATATATACTAAAGAAAAGGATAAGGTTATGGACTGGCTTACTGACTGATTCACTGACTGACTGATAAAAATTAAGCTAGAATTTTGAAATTTGGACTGAGGGTCTTTGTCCAAAGCTGAGTTTTTAAAAATTCGTACTAAAAATGCATGAAAAGAGCCGGTAGAGCTAGAACTCTTAAATCTGAAAATTGAATCTCTGATGAAATGTAGAATAGATGTAGCAAAGGTTTCTTGGGCATTCGAACGATGAATATGCGAAAAGTACTATAATGTAATAAATTTGGTACAATTTCGTGCCATATGAATGTATAGAACTGAAAACTTGAAATTCGGAATGCAAAATAAGGTTGAGAATGTATGGTCGATATAAGGAGGTGAAAGCATGCACACATGTGTACGAAAACGGATGAAGCTGCGATTTAAAAATTTCAAATTTACATTACCCTCGGAGTGTGGAATAGTGATAGGTAGGTAGTTTGGGAAATGTCTTCCTATGTGTACGAAAGGTACTAAATGGTACTATATTTGCTACAATTTGAATTTGGGTGAACCAATAGAACTGGAACACTAAAATAAGAATACTACTGCATTGTACTAAATTTTGGTACCATTTTGATTTCCTGAAATTTGGAGTTAGGATTACTGTTGGGGTGTAGAATTGGGATATGTAGGTAGTTTTGGAAATTTGTACTAATGGTACTAAATTTGATACCATTTTTGATTTAGGTGAATCGATAGAGCTGGAATACTAAATATTTGGGATTAGTATTACTACTGGAGTGTAGAATTGAGATAAGTAAATAGTTTTGGGCATTTGTACTTAGTGTACTAAGTGGTACTAAATTTGATACATTTTGGATTTAGGTGAACCTATAGAGCTGGAATCCTGAAATTTGGAATTCAAACTATTGTTGAAGTGTGGGTTTAGTTTTGGAAATTTGTACTTATGTGTACTAAATGGTACTAAATTTGGAATTAAGATTACTTTTTTTCGTACTTATGTGTACTACTTGATGTTAGTATCACTGTTGGGGTGTTGGATTAGGTTATGTAGGATGTTTTGGAAATGTCTACTAATGTGTACTAAATGTCACTAAATTTGGTACAATTTGGATATTAGGTAGTTATAAAAATTTGTATTAATGTATGCTAATTGGTACTAAATTTGGATTTGGGTGAGCCTATATTTGAAATTTGAAAATTTTTTTGGAAATAAGTATTACAAGAGTATAAAGTGTAATTAATTATACCAAATATAATATAGAGCTAGATATCTGTTGCGAACAGAATTGGTGTGTAGTGTTGAGATGTGGAGGTATTGATACCTTAACTTTAATTATAGTCGGTATTGGATTTTAAATAAATCCCACATTCGCTAATGAACTCCCATATTGCTGGTCCATGTGTTAGTCCACACTTCCGTCTTTGCCAAAACATGTTTAACATAGGTACCATATTCGGGCCACAAACTCAAAAAAAAAAAAAATATCCCATCGACCTTTACGCATTTTTCTGTGTCCCCTTATTACCAAAGGAAATGGTGTAGTGTGGAAGTGTGTCCAGTTGAACCATTAAATTGACAAACAGAAATAAGTAAATAAGCCAATCCCGAAGTTTTTTTATGAACCCAAAGAACATTTTCGAATAATGGCAACGATATTGAGACTCACACACGTATACAAAAAGAAGGACTCATAAAATGCGACATTTTTGTTAGCGAGTTATATTCGCCCCATCAGAACAGACCTTTTGAAGTCCAGCTAAGAAGATTGGAGATTTTTTATGTAGATTACGAACTTTTTAAAGTCACAACAGAGCATGATTGTGGATACCTTTTTTTGT